TGTCTGAGAATATTCAATCACTCTAGCACTTGACAATATCCTTTAGAACTCTATTATAACCCGTTTAAAAAACCTTAAATAGTTCTCAAATTTGTAAATTAGCATTCTACTGCCAAGGTCTCTTTTACAATATTGGTATAAAATATGAGTCCGACAATACATCTGAATATTCCAGATTGAAACCAACATTACATACAATTTTTCTTAATGTTAATTGGATATAATTCTATTCAATTTGACCTTTAGCAAGATAATTTAGCACCATCATCCAGGCTACCTTACCGTTGGTTATTCAATTTGGCCTTATTAAATTTCATTTTCATTACGTCAATACCAGTCACGCCTCAATTTATTAATTCAAATTACCATGAATCAATAGAACTGTAAATGTAAATGATTAATGCTACTGACTTAAATTAGTGTTAGCTTTTTTATTGATTTTTGATTTTCATTGGGAGGGGGCATATCTTAGATACATAATCTTATTTATCGAATCATTTATGCTACACATTTGTTTCATCTTATCATTTTCCTTAATTCCTTTTTCCTATAAAAGTTAAAATTAATCCAGAGTGAAATAGCTTTGGCATATCGATTTCACTTACAATAATTTTCTTCCAACTTGCATTGCTAATCATATTTTTAACCAGCATATATATATTTATATATATGTTTATACCGTCTCCACACAAATTTTTGACCATGGTTAAAATTTGTGTGGTGACGGTATAAACAGTTGACTTTTGAATTTTTTCATATGTTGTGTCCAATTATTAATTTAAATTATGAAACGTAATTAATTTATCTTCATAGTTCATGTATACCATATGTTTTAAATTTACAACAAAATTAATGCCCAGAATTTTAAAACTATGTTTGTTTCATGACAATTTTCATGGCGTTTCAATTACTTTACCTGTCCAGTTTTAATGTTGTGTCATCCGCATATTGAGATGATATAAATGTTATAGATTATTTTTTCTTAATTTCATTGATGTCGATATAACATAAAGTCATTATCATTTATTTGTTTTCTTTTAGTTCCTTATCAGTAACTAATTATTTATGATTGTAGTGGTTAGCCTCGCCCCTGCCCTTGTACCCTGTCCTGTTTTTGTTCTGGGGTCCTCTAGGCTTACTCCTTTGCCAACTGGGCTCTTGTTGCTTGGGTTCGGGTTGGGGGTTGCGTTCATTGAACGCCGCTTTTCCTGTGGGTTGATTGCTTGTTTATCAATATTTGTTATATAAATCTTTTAATTTTTTCTCCAATACAGCAAACCCTTTTAATAAATGCCGGTTTTTGGGTCTTTGTTTTTATTCATTTTGTTTAAAGTATTTTTAACCCCCTCACCCTGTGAACAAATATGTTGAAGAAAGGTGTAGATTTCCAATTCGCAAAGTTCATCCAGGTCCTTCCGTAGGTTCAAAATGGTCTAATGTGCTTCAATTCCGTCCATAATTAAGTAACTAAAAGGGGGAAAATCCCATAAAAACCCGACTGGTTTATGTGGGTTACTTTAAACTGGGTTTAATCTAAATAAAGGGCCGCCAATAAATATCAAAAAGAGAAAATTTATACATGTAAACCCCAACATATTTGGGCATACTCCGTCCGTCCGTAAATTTACTTTAAAACGACATCTCTTCAATAAAACCGCTAAAGCCAAAAATTTTCTTTCTGTTTTCCAATGTTCAAGCTTCTACATAGGAAAGCTTCCTATGTTACATTCTCCTAAAAAACCATAAATAATTTTATTGGGTGAAAGGGAGACTTAGAAAACTACTATAGTATATCATAAAAGTATAATAAAAGATAAAAGAACTGAAAGGGGTATGGGACCAAATTGAAAGGAGGGAGGTGATGTGCAATTTCCGACTATAAAGACAAAACACAAACTTTGAAATACAATGAGGAAAAACAGAGAAGGGAATGGACAAAGTGGCTGGAACCAAAACCATTGATAAAATCCCCAAACAAACCATACAAGCCAATGACATACTCAAAAAGGAACAATAGAATAGCACCGGCTTAAGCTGAATGGTTGTAATGGTGTGTTCATACGGTGGTTATAATGGAACATTCAATTTGACACTTTAGTGCCATTTAGTAAAAAGCGGCGTATGATCCCCAAGTAAAGGAATGCGTGTGCCCTAAACGAGAAAACAATGGGCAGCCTTTTAAAAGCTTCTTTCCACATACAATGTAGAATTTGCCTAAAAGACGCCCATATTAAAATCTATATCACAAATTCAGGGTAAGACCAATTTTGACTATTATTAAAATCCATTTTAATTCCGGGATTAAACTGTTATGACAATCTAAAATATATTTAACCTTTGACATGATGGAGCAGAAAATGAACAGGTCCTGCTACAAGTATAGATCCAGGCTAGATATAGATCAGGTTCTGTACTGTTGACAGCTCAATTTTCGTACGCGTATATTGATTTATTGATTTGATTGGCAAAGCAGAAATTCATCAGGTTATTTTATAAACAAATTGTTCACTAACAGACAGATAGGGATATGGTTTTTCCAACAATATTGACCAGGCACTCTTCATTTGACACTATTATAGCTGGTAAATTCGGTAAACTGTTGATCTACTTTTAAATCTATATGAATGTATATAACCAGTTGTTAAATGGTCTTAATTAAGAATTCCTCCTAGCACAATCAGTAAAGGTCTTTTGCTTCAAAAAATTATAGACATAAACTCGTAGGTTCGAATCCTGGTTCAGCCACTTTATTTATTTTAATTTTAAAATTGCCCTTCTCTAAAAACTTGTGCAAATAATTTTTGTATGTATACTATCTTTGTACTTTTTTATTAACTACATATGTAGCATATATGTATGAAGTTTCCTTTAAACATACAGGATTGTTTCATGGAGCTGTCATCCATAACACATTTTTATCAGGCGTGTTATTACCTTGAGTTTTTTGGGGTAATGTATTGTTTATTATTGTAAAACTATGATTGTTACTTGGAACAATAAACGGGTAAACTACTGTTACTGAAATTAAGAATCGAAAATAAAAAACACATGTTCTTGACACATGTTGTGCTACACGTATGTCACAAAATGGGCACAATTCAATAGAACATTTGCCATTTGTTACAATGTGAATGTATTTGCTATTGTTTTATATATAACCTTGAATTTAGCACTTATAATAAAATTAATATAATTATATATTTATATCATTTCGATTTAATCTCTCGTAAAATTTGTAACAATGCTGTTACAACTATGTGAAATCTTGTAACATCTTTTTACCTGACTAATTTCGATATCTGACCATGCTATCTGAAGTGATAATAAGAGCTGTCACCAGCACAACATATTCGGCTGTTCTGATTGATAGAACTAGAAAATTACAGTATATTGTTATTCCTACCAAATGCTCCGGCACGCTTTACTTTTTTAAACGCCATGTGTCAATTCTCACTTTGACACTTTGCTTAGTTTATTGTTATCAATAACTGTAACAAAGTCAAATTAGAAATTAAGTTGAAGGAAATGTAAAGAACATAGTATGACCTTAGAAGAGCCTACTTCTAATATGTAAGCACTTTAGTTCAGGCTGGCGAGTTGAATGATATGTTATGACTGTAATCTAGAGACCGGCCTTAGGTTTAAACCTTTGTGAGTATCTTTCAAGTAAACCATTACTGCAATGTATAGTTAAGGAGTTTATAAAAGTGTTGCATAATATAAGAATCTGACATGGCATGAAATGACTGTGGTACGATTTCTCAAACAAATGTTTTTTCTACATTTCACACATTATAATACAGGCATGTACCTTTTAAATTAATAAAATACTGTATCCTTAACATCAAGTGCATTTCATTTTTGCTTTTGTTAATAAACGCTTATAAGCAATTCCATCATCAGCCGTGCAAAATAATCAGTACACATTATAGTGAATTATTTATAATTGAATTATTTTGACAAAATCTCCACCATGTTAACCCACAACTTTATACTAACTTCTTGTGAGTAAAGATTTCCCTCTCCTTGTTCACCAGCTTGCAATCAAAATGATGTAATTTAATTTTTTTGAAGTTCAGACAATAAAATAACATTCACGATTCTTTAACACTTGATCCAGGGCTGCGTTCAATCTTTGAAGTCACTTTTAATAATTATTGTCTCCCATGTTGGATGTTACACTATGGGACAGGATAAAAAACAACAACAACAATGGGGGAATAGTATGTAGGCAAAACGTATTCTATTTTTATGTACACCGTAGAAAAAGAAAACAGCTGTGAACCAAGGTATTGGCATTTCTTTAAAGATGAATCTAAATGCCAGTAAAAGTTAATTCCGTCATCGAGCTTATAGGATTACATTTTTTAAAAAGCTCCAAATGTTCATTCTTAAAATAAGCTCGGGTGCATCCACAAATATTCGCTTTCTTTAACTCAGTCTATACTTCTTAAAGTCAAAATATGAACCCACTTACATATGTCCCTGAGGAAAAATCTCTTTGTGTTCTTTATCGTTCGTCCAAGAAATATGTCGGCCATATTTACGTAAGTCAGCAAATTCTGTGCGTAACTTTACTTAAAAACGCATTTTTTTGACAAACGCCTTTAAGTAAAACAATCAGACGTAAGTTAAAACTAACGCAAATCTTAAAAGTAAGTACGTTACTATAAAGGGGCCACTGGACTTTTTTTTGCATGTTATGTAAACTGAAGATGCGTCTCTTTATTTGAATTTGCTTTTGAATCTGTTTTGCTTCTATGTTTAAAATAAAATTATCAAAGAAACCGTCGTTTTCACTTTGTATTTTCGCCATAAATAGGCTGTGATAATAGTTTGCTGTTTGTTCTTTAACAATTGCTCCGTCTTTTGTATTGCTTGAACTACATTGATAATTGCTTTTTATATCTAAATTAAACTTATTATGTTCGTAATTGCATTTAGTTGATGATAATTTGATATACTTATGAGGTGTGTGTTTTTTTGTTGTTTTATTTAAGACAAAAGTACAATCAGAAAGTGCATGAAAAACAAAGCAGAATTTCAAAGACTTTTAGGGGAAATGATTGGAATGTACAGAAGAAGTAAACTCCCGGAAAATTTAAAGCCACAACTAAATGGACCACCTGAGGGAGAAGTAAGTGAACAGGTTAGGGTACTTTTTTATTTTTTTAAAGCCAATTTTCTTATAACAATCAATGATTACATACAGCCATCTATGTTATGTATTGACTACGCTCTACTTGAATCTTCTTTTATGAAGGTCCTTAATCTCCCCTCTTTTTAATGGTGATACAATACAATCGTTTATATCGACTTTTTGTATCTCGAATCAAAATGTTACTCCCAAGGGTTATGTATACCTGATTAATCTTGACTATTTATTTCTATCTGCCGTCTGAAAAGGCGCTTAGATACAAAGCGGACGTGGACTTTTACAAAGTTAGCACGTAAACAACGAACAAGCTATGTTTTAGTAATATCACAATTCGATTCTTTCAAATGTATGATTGTTAATCTTTCAGATTAAAAACAGATTGTTTATAAAGAATTTCAAAGTACTTTATTACTTATATAGATCCAAACGCTGAGTACAATACTGAACATTATTGGACGAGTACACAGTTGGCAAAACAATATTGGACAAGGCGCTAGCCGAGTCTGATAAAGGTGTTGCAGCTGTATACGAGTCTGATAGAATCGGTACCATTCTCAACTATGTGAAATGAACCCTTTACTTCACACGTCAACTTTATTTCACAGACTTTTGTTACTTCAATAAATAATTTTTTGAAATAGATTTTTGAATGAAAAATGAAGCTTGACGGGTAATGATATGCATTTGATAAATACATAAAAAAGGATAACGAAGCTATATTGGGTATGCCATTGTGGCATGAAAATTACCATATTTCACTCGTGGCTACCGCCACTCATGAAATATTTATTTTCATACCACTCGATGAAAATAAATCATGTATTTATAGAAAAAACTTGAATATCCTCTATATATTTTTAGAAGGGAAAATACATTCGTTCCCCTTTTTAATGCATTTTTACATTATGTTCACCTAAAGTAATAGTATTGTTTTATGAAAAGTAAAAGACAAACAGCCAAAGTAAACATCCAACTTTTTTTTGGTTTCTTTCTTCCGGGAGAACTGTTCTACTTAAGAATTACTTAAGAACAAAAGCCATGTACAGAATATAACATGTTTCCAAAAAATAAAATGCAATAATTCAGAAATAAGAGATACATTATTATTAAGAGGGAAATATAGAGCAAAATAAAAAAAAAAACTTACGTATAACACATTCCCCTTAAAAAACAACAGATAAAACAATTTGATAGAGCTAGGAATTTAGACCGATGTTAAGGGTAGGAGGGAACCGTTCCCTCATCAAAATAAAAATAAATTACAAAACTAATCTATAACACATTTTCTAAATTGGAACCGTTCCCCTTAAAAAACAGATAAAACAATTTGATCAAATAATATGAAATTATTCAGAAATTAGACCGATGTTAAGGGTAAGAGGGAACCGTTCCCTCATCAAAATAAAACAATAAATAGCAAAACTATTCTTAACACATTTTCTTAAGTGGAATTTTCCCCTTTAAAAAGACAGATAAAACAATTTGATCAAATAAAATGTAATAGCTAAGACTTTGGACAAATGTTACGGGTAATAGGGAACCGTTGTCTCATCAAAATAGAAAAAAATATATTTTCTAAAGTGAAACCGTTCCCCTCTAAAAACAGCAGATAAAACAACTTGATGGAATAAAATGTATTAATTCAGAAATAAGAGCTATGTAAATTATATTTTATCTATGTGCAGGTAATGATGAAGTTGTACAAAATCAGCCCGTCTATAAGAGGATACAGTTACAAGTTTATCACAAGACTTCAAATCCACGTTTTGAGCGACGATATCGAAAGGTTGAAACAAGAAATTGCCGAAGAACTTGAGAAACATGGGTTTATATCAGACTCTTATGATATAGTCCCACCGCTAGATGATGTGAGGCCATTTATCAAAATACTTGCAGGTTCGAAAGTATGTAATACAGTCCAAAACGAAGCGGCAGTGTTTGGAACATTAACAGGTTTTGTTAAAATGGAATCGTATGAACAGAAAGAAACAATATGCTGTTCACTGGCATCAAAACATCTCCTTGATGGACAAAAAACAATACAAATTTCGAACAGAGAGCAAACAATGACGGCTGCCGTCATTAAAGAAACAGCTCCTGGCGACAGTAATATGTATGTTGATATTGCTGCCGCCATTATCAACAAAGAAGACGAAAAGTACTGTGACGGTCGATTCAAAACAGAGGATGGTAAACTGATTAAGGGTATTATGTTTACCAAAGACGATAGTCTTCTTGCCTGTCAGCACGTGCACATAAATGGCGCCTCAACTTCTTTGGGTCTAGGAATCATTGCTACTACACATTGTAACAACAGAGAGTCCATTGAAACTCGAAATGGACAGAAACAATCATGTGAGAGAAAAGAGGAAATTGAGAAGGCAAATGAAGATGACAAATTTATATATGTTGAAAGTAGAAAAAAGTCAAGCCCATTTTGTACAGGTGGTGACAGTGGAGCTATGGTATGTGCTGACGACGATGACGGTAACCATGTTGAATTAATTTCAACAGTAATTGGAAAGGTAGTAAACCAACGTGAAACGGAACAGTGCGGTGCTGAAAATGTGAAAGTAAAGGATAATGTTGTTTACCAAACCCTTCGGTTGGAAACAGGTGTTACTCATTTAAAAAAGCTAATTAAAAGTGAAATTGATTTTTTTGAATCTTAAAAACAGATGAAAATGTTCTCGTAAAAATCTGACAGTGGTAAAAGTTTAAAACAGGTATTTGTTAACATTTACTCAATTTGCATTATAAATTGATATCACCATTGATTTTATGATGTATGATGTCTTCTATACATTTGAAATTGATTCTTGCTTTTTTAAATGGAAACTGAGTCTTGCTTTTTTAATTAACTTTAACCATTTAAATATTTGAACATAAAATTTCGACAAATGATAGATCTTAAAATTATACATTTGTTGTTGCAATCATATATTAATCAGATCATATCTACTTCATAATTTATTCAGATAATTATAAGGAACGCGGAATTACGATTTTGACGTATACTTTTATGCAAAAATAGCGCTAATGCATCTATTTTCGTGCATTTACATTTGTTAAAACAAGATGATAATTTTAAAGTCAGAGTCCGCACGATAAAAAAATGCAACATCTTTTAATGTGAATACATTTTATTGCTTTTTATTTGTTTATTTTAAAAGTCAAAGATGGAAATGTGCTCGAAAATATTTTTTATTATATGTTACAGTTTCTAGAAATATCTACCTACATTCAAAACTTATTCATTTATATCAGTTCTTGCATAAAAAATCTATGCCGCAGTTACACACGAACGGAGAAAAAAATGCAGTTACAGATAGATTATCGTGACCATGCGCCGTTGTTGCATGTTTCTCGGAGCGAAATGTAAAAATCAACCTAATGTTATGACGACCCCGGTAGTTAAACTACCAAATGACATCGCTGTGACATGTGAAATGCGTGGCTTTTTCCACGGAAATACCGCGGAAATACAATGTTGACGTATACTTTTTATGCATGATCTGCGCTTATTTATCTTATTTCGTACATTTACATCTGTAGAAGGAGGAGGATGCATTTAAAGTCCATGCCCGCACAAAGAAAATATGCATTAATTCTCTTTTAATGAAGTAAACTTTTTCATATTGTTTTCAGAAAGTAATATTAAACACAATATATATTTTGAAATAGTACACAGGTTATAATCATTAAAAGCATATTATACATAGACATATTCCTCTTGAATGAATATTTTGTTTATTATGACGATGTTTTATAGTTACATGAATACATAAAGGTTCTGTAAAATAGGTAAATATTTTGTACTTTCCTTATGTGTGACGATACAATATTGTATCTCTGATAAAAACTAATAAAATGTACGTTTGTTCCATAAATAATTCAAGATGCAATATATAAATACATATCTCACTTAAATCAAATACTTACTCTTGAATATGCTTTTTGTGTTAAAGTTTGACCTTAACATAGATATAACAAGTTATTGCGTGATCATGATAAAAAAATATATATTTGAAAAAGAAAAAAAACGGAAAAACAAAAAAAAGAAAAAAAAAAGACGATGTTTTACTGAATTTTCTATGCTATGTTATTTAAATTCTCATTTTTTCCTTATCAGAAGATAGCGGAACCTACAGTGATTTACATTGCACTACATATGTTGTTAGTTTATTTTCTTTCATCAATATATTTAAAAATTGATTTACTCAATATTTATGGTAAAGATTTTATTCAATCAGTTATAAGAACATTATATATAGACTGCGCATTTATTAAAGCATTTATTTTTTCATAATTTCTGACAATTGTCATATTTTAAAAACATGTCTTATTACAATTATAACAATAGATTTTCGAACTTGTGTGAATGTATTCAAGTCATTGTATGTATTAAAAGTGTGTCTGTGTGTATGTATGTATTAAAAGCAAGTTTTCTACATTTGTTAATTGTAAATTTATAATGTAGCTATTAAAATCATGCACATGATAATATTTTATATTTTTAAATATGCATATTTGAAATTAATGAAAGGCCTGTTTGAAAATTTATTCTCTGTATTGTTTTGTTATGCAAGATATTTCTCACTCGACGTCACAATAAAATACTTTGTACGAGTATATTTTTGTCAATTTTATTTAAACAAAACTATCAAGTATCTCTGCCTATAAATAGTAAAAAGAGTGATATACAATTATTGAATTCATAACAACAAAAAAAAGTTTAATTTAAGATGGTTACACTGCAATATTGACCCTTTTTAGATAATATACATTACCTCTCTTGATTGCACAAAAAGGTGTCTTTTTCAATACATATAAAGCTTAACATTTAATGAAAATATAATTGAATATACTCGAATTGAATATATTTGAACATAAAATTTCGACAAATGATAGATCTTAAAATTATACATTTGTTGTTGCAATCATATATTAATCAGATCATATCTACTTCATAATTTATTCAGATAATTATAAGGAACGCGGAATTTCGATTTTGACGTATACTTTTATGCAAAAATAGCGCTAATGCATCTATTTTCGTGCATTTACATTTGTTAAAACAAGATGATAATTTTAAAGTCACAGTCCGCACGATAAAAAAATGCAACATCTTTTAATGTGAATACATTTTATTGCTTTTTATTTGTTTATTTTAAAAGTCAAAGATGGAAATGTGCTCGAAATATTTTTTATTATATGTTACAGTTTCTAGAAATATCTACCTACATTCAAAACTTATTCATTTATATCAGTTCTTGCATAAAAATCTATGCCGCAGTTACACACGAACGGAGAAAAAAATGCAGTTACAGATAGATTATCGTGACCATGCGCCGTTGTTGCATGTTTCTCGGAGCGAAATGTAAAAATCAACCTAATGTTATGACGACCCCGGTAGTTAAACTACCAAATGACATCGCTGTGACATGTGAAATGCGTGGCTTTTTCCACGGAAATACCGCGGAAATACAATGTTGACGTATACTTTTATGCATGATCTGCGCTTATTTATCTTATTTCGTACATTTACATCTGTAGAAGGAGGAGGATGCATTTAAAGTCCATGCCCGCACAAAGAAAATATGCATTAATTCTCTTTTAATGAAGTAAACTTTTTCATATTGTTTTCAGAAAGTAATATTAAACACAATATATATTTTGAAATAGTACACAGGTTATAATCATTAAAAGCATATTATACATAGACATATTCCTCTTGAATGAATATTTTGTTTATTATGACGATGTTTTATAGTTACATGAATACATAAAGGTTCTGTAAAATAGGTAAATATTTTGTACTTTCCTTATGTGTGACGATACAATATTGTATCTCTGATAAAAACTAATAAAATGTACGTTTGTTCCATAAATAATTCAAGATGCAATATATAAATACATATCTCACTTAAATCAAATACTTACTCTTGAATATGCTTTTTGTGTTAAAGTTTGACCTTAACATAGATATAACAAGTTATTGCGTGATCATGATAAAAAAATATATATTTGAAAAAGAAAAAAAACGGAAAAAAAAAAAAGAAAAAAAAAGACGATGTTTTACTGAATTTTCTATGCTATGTTATTTAAATTCTCATTTTTTCCTTATCAGAAGATAGCGGAACCTACAGTGATTTACATTGCACTACATATGTTGTTAGTTTATTTTCTTTCATCAATATATTTAAAAATTGATTTACTCAATATTTATGGTAAAGATTTTATTCAATCAGTTATAAGAACATTATATATAGACTGCGCATTTATTAAAGCATTTATTTTCATAATTTCTGACAATTGTCATATTTCAAAAACATGTCTTATTCCAATTTAACACTAGATTTACGAACTTGTGTGAATGTATTCAAGAAAGCGTCATTGTATGTATTAAAAGTGTGTCTGTGTGTATGTATGTATTAAAAGCAAGTTTTCTACATTTGTTAATTGTAAATTTATAATGTAGCTATTAAAATCATGCACATGATAATATTTTATATTTTTAAATATGCATATTTGAAATTAATGAAAGGCCTGTTTGAAAATTTATTCTCTGTATTGTTTTGTTATGCAAGATATTTCTCACTCGACGTCACAATAAAATACTTTGTACGAGTATATTTTTGTCAATTTTATTTAAACAAAACTATCAAGTATCTCTGCCTATAAATAGTAAAAAGAGTGATATACAATTATTGAATTCATAACAACAAAAAAAAGTTTAATTTAAGATGGTTACACTGCAATATTGACCCTTTTTAGATAATATACATTACCTCTCTTGATTGCACAAAAAGGTGTCTTTTTCAATACATATAAAGCTTAACATTTAATGAAAATATAATTGTTCGTTTAAATTGATATAAACCTGTTAATATACCAAATGCTATTAAATAGATTTCTTTATTTACATTATATGAAACAGATATTTCATGTGTTTCTTTTGCTTATTATAAATACATTGTCAATTCTACTTACAATTTGTATAGTTAAAAAGCGTTTGTTTTCAGGATATTAATTTTTGTATTTTCACGCATATAAAACTCGAAAGTTTCATAAGTCGTTGATGATTGTTTATCTTTATGTTTTGGATTTTTTAAACATAAGTTATTTTGCTAACGTCGACTGTATGCACACCAACAATAACACGTATGTAGTTTACACATCATCAGCTGGATTTATCAAAGTATTTAAAGTGGTAGCGAGAAGTCGCTTAGTTTATATACGTCAATTCTATACACATTTATGTATGCCGGTATGGTTGAAAAGAAACATTGATTACATTAGAATGGACACTAAATTTCTGACGGTACTTGTTGTAATTATTTATTTCTATTTTTGTACAACATATGTGTGAAAACTATTGACGAATATATGTTTATTGCTATCAATAAACAAGAACTAAATGAAATAAAGTTTGTCAAGCATGTATAAAGGCACTCAATAAAATATTCGTTTGGTATGGAATGCGTGTCTGATGTTGATTTCTTCAGGTAAAATAATTTTCGTCTTAATCGACATAAATGAAACAACAAAACTTAGTTTTTATAACCTTTGTCATTTGATTTTTTGACCATGCTGTAGAAACAATAAAAATAAATCAGTCCATTTTTAATTGGTAAAAAATATTCACTTATGTTTCTCTCTGATTCTGTATTTCTTTTTTGTACATGTATATAAAAAAAAACGTGAAAGAAAATAAAACGTACCCAAGCTGATTTCGTAGCTCGTGTTCAAATATGTCATTGCATTCACATGATTTACATGGATCATATCAATTGAATTTCACTTTCTTCACATTGTTTTTTTTTCTTTCATTAACCACTTATCGCTGTGAGCCCAAAGTCTGGCTTTTTGTGTCGTCATGTTTTCTAAAATCATTCTGGATTTTTTTCTGGATTGATTATGTGTTTTAACCTTAAGAATATGAAGTGCCTCTGTACTTTTCTGTTACCTATACTATTTCATTCTTAAGTTGTACTCAATTTATATTTTATCTGATATAAAATTCTTGACAATTGGGACACATAATACCAGTATACTTGTATATCTGGAGTTATGTATTGAAATAAGGACATCATTTGAAGCGATAGTCTTGATGATCAGTGGTCTTCAAAAGGCCCTTTAGATCTAGCCTGTTTTATTTCATGTTGTATCAGTTCATTTGTAAAATTGTGTCCTCGTAACTGTAATTTCAATTCCGTGAGACGCTTTACTTGTACGTCTATATTCTTAACGATTGTTATGATTCTTGACGGTAAATTGAATGGTATGTTAACTTTAGTATGCCAAGGATGACAATATAGATTATTAGGCGTTTCTGTAGGCTCACTGTATAAATCTGTAGCAATGTCATTGTTTGATGAAGGTTATTAAGTTCGTTTGGAAATTCGTGTTTATTACCTTTTAGAGAAATAAAAACCAGTCGCCATGCGCCATT